CCTTAGCAAAGCGCATCCCAGGCTGCATAGCCGCACTACCCTACCCAACCATACCACACATAAACATGACACTACCCCCGGGGTTTACACAGACGAGCCGGCGAAGCAAGAAGAGCGCCAGAAGAAAGGGCCCTAGCCGGCGGGGCCCAGCCAGGACAAAAGGAGGTCCCACAAAGCGCCTACACCGGCCGCATTTGCGGTCGGGGTAGACGACGGATGGGGCCCACCTACGAAGGCTGTCCAGGCCTACACGAGATGAGGCAGGATAAAGAGGGATAATCCCCCTCGATCCCAAATCATTGAGGCCAATTTCTAGCCATAGAATAATGGCGCGCGGTCGATGCACCAAGGGGACTTTCCGAACCTGTGGGTGAATTACCCTAAATCTGCCTATTTTGAATCCAGGAATCCATGCCGTGGTCTTCCGTTGTACACATTATTCTGGGACTCCCTATATAAAACCATAAGTGTTTACTTACCTCCAAATCGTTAATTGGAAAAGATCGAAGTATACTATCATTTTGAGTGTTTTTACAGTTATTATACAACAAAAAAAAATCAAAATTGAATCAAAAGTGACCCTGACGTACCCTATACCCGCACCGGCCCACGAATCACTGACTCAAAGGCCGCGTGCATTCCCTAGCTACAATAAGCTATTCCCAAAAGCCCACTCCTCACAGCGACTACCCCCCGAGGGTTAAACAAACCGGCGAAGAAAGAAAAATCAAGACACGAAGAGCGCCAAAAGAGGCTCCCCTGCCGGCAGGGGCCAGCCAGGGCAAAAGGAGGTCCCGCAAAGCGCTTACACCGGCCATGCTTGTGGTCGGGGTAGACGATGGACGGGGCCCACCTTGACGAGGCTGTCCAGACCAACAGAGATAAGGCAGGACAAAGAGGGATAGTCCCCCTCGGTCCCAAATTGTCGAGGCCACGTTTAACGCCAAAAATAACGGCGCGTGAGGCTCCGCAAAGCGCCTACACCGGCCATGCTTGTGGTCGGGGTAGACGATGGATGGGGCCCACCTTCGTGAGGCTACCCAAGCCTACAGAGATAAGGCAGGACAAAAAAAGATAAGTCTCCTTCGGTCCCAAATTATCGAGGTCACGTTTAACGCCGAAAATAACGGCGCAGCACAATCCATAAACACAAGAAACAAGTTTTTACAATCGGACATATTGAAGAGGATTCATCTATGATTGTGGCAGGATTTTTTAATTACGTCTTTACAACTTTTCATGCGAAATGGATATTTTATATAAAACTGAAAATTACAGATAATTTCGCGAATAACCGGAATAACAGCATTAGATATGTCAGTAATAACAAAGTATACAGTAACAGATACCGTCATTTTTCATGTTACAAGAAAGTGGATTGGAGATATGTGCAAAAAAATTTTAGACAACAATTGCTCTATATTCCATATAGCTAATAATTTTACACAAAACTCCCTAATCTTTGTTTAAAACATTGAGCTAAATAGATAATTACAGAGAAGAAGAAGCAACAACAAGTTCTATATAAGAAGAAGAATGTGAAATTGACATTTTTAGATTTGCTAAACGTAAAACTTGACATTAAAGCTTGAATTTAGTAAAGCGAAATTAAGATACTTTTAATAGTATCATTTCAATTTTAACCATGGATCATGATGAAATTGAACTAGAAGAGGGAGAGGTAATTGTTCAATAACTATTAACTTATATATACTTAATATATTTAACCTTGTTTATGTATTAGGTCTCTAATGACTCTGACAATAACTACACACCCCTTGAACGACCCTCAAATTACTCGGCCAATCAACCCCAACCGAGGTTACCAATTGACCAGCCTTCAGAAACTGAGGAAGAATTACAATCTAGTGACAGTGATAGTGATTCTGACCCAAACGTTAAGCGAATTAAGAAACCTAAAATAAAATTAAAACCGAAACCACCTCCACAAAATCCAAAACGGAAAAAATATGATATTTGGAGTTCTAGGGAACAAGATGAAGTACTAGCTGCAACACTAAACTGCTGTGATGTAACAACAAAAGATAGATCTCGTAACATAGAATATTATGATTATACATTAAGTCGTAGATTTTACGATGATGACTCAAAGCAAAATAAAAGTAACAAAAGAACAAGGGATGACAGAAAAAATATATACTTTAGGCAACGGAAACGATCAAATGGTGAAGAAAAGTTGAAGGGTACTAAAAGAATAATTTTAGACTTGGCTGTTGACTTAAATAGCAGTGCTGACGAAATGGCAAAAGATATGGCTAATAAACTGTGTGAGGAGAAGGAAGATTTAATTTGTAAGTAAATAAATTTTTGTATGAAATATTAAAAAATTTAAAGCTAAGTAAATCAAAATATTATCTTGTGAAGTCAATTATACATACAGATATTTATTTAGTTAAATTCTAATATTTAGTTGATTTTAGTGAAAGTAATAAATGTTATGGGGAAACAAAAAGCAATTGATTTATTTAATGAAACAAAAAGAATTGAGGGAGAAGGAGGAATGCTTATAATGGTAAGAAAATAATTTTTTTACAATTACGTTTTTTTCTCAATTTATTTATATAGATATCTATGCATGTGTTTCACTTTGAGCAGCACCAACTTCAAATTTTAGAAAATAGGTTGATTTAGCATGGACCTCTTAAAACCTACCTCTCTAATAATGTTTGTTTTTACCCTAACTTAAGATCTTTTGTATCCAGAATAGTTTACCAAAAATTATATTTAAGAAAAAAAAAATTGTAGCTTAATTGAATTGAAAGTATCCCAATTGGGATACCTGCATAACTCACAAACCTGCCTGTATCGCACTCGTTTGTGGAAGCCTTAATATTAAAATTAAATTTTTTTCACTGGGTGTTTACTTTAGTAAGTATAATTTTTAAAATGCAGTTTTTGGAATAGTGATGGCAATAAGCACTCATTTCAGTAAATGACTACTTACCATTAGCATATTTTGAGAAGCTGGACAATCACTCCAGTAATAATAACCTGTGAACAGCATTGACTGTTTATAGAATTTTATACCCAAGTAACGATATAACTTGCAGAACTTTCATATGAACTATTTATAAAATTATTGACATTAATCAAAGAATAGCCTCCTGTGATTATTGGGCCTAAAGAATAATGGATATTCAGAAAGTTGTCAAAGCTAAATGTTTAATTTTTTTATAAAACTGATCCTATTTATGAAGAACTTATTCTGTTTTCTCTGATCAAGCCTAGATAGCTTAATAAAATCTATCACAAAAGTATTTAATCTAAGATGAAGAGTTGTATTGAGAATTTCATGGTGTCATGCAAAGCTAAATTTGTCTTGAACCATAATCATTAAAATTGTTCTACTGATGCTTTCATTTAGTGCTGCTTTTAGCAAAGCAAAAATAATTTACACCCATAGGAGAAGACATAACAGGATAATGAAATTATTTTAGTTTTACGTGGGGTTATTAAGAGCCGGTTAAAGAATTTTGGAATTTCAAAATTTGCAAATGAAAAACGGTTTACTGAGATGTATGAAATGAGCTCCAAATTTTTAATGTCCCTCATATTAAAAATTTTATGAAAGTAAATAAACAAAATTATTGTTTTCCAAAAAAATCCACATTTTAGTTAAGGAGGTTTATCTGATTTGGAATTGACGAACAAATATTTATAAAAAAATTAATATATGAAGAAAACCCTCAAAAAAAATTATGACTAGTTTGGATACCTAAGAGACGAGATATTAATAAAATAATTTTTTATGATTTAGTACAGTCTTATGAGAATGCAGATTTTTTTGGTCTTTCCACTTAGAATGCGCAGCAATTGACAAACAGTTTTTACAGCAACTTGTATATATAGGAAACCGATATCTAAGGAACCGTATGACAGCTCGTAGAAATCGATTAGGTGCTTGTAAGATACATAATTTATAATAATTCTCCTTCAAACTGCTGTTGTTGATTAACTTAACGTCCATATGCATGATAGCGGCAACGCCGCGGTTCTCGACGTAGCGTATATTTGAAATTTGCAGGTGTGACATGGTGTATATTTCAAGCTAATAGCTGTTTTACATTGACAATTTATTCATGAATAAATTGACGAAGTTCTTCATGAATTAATTCACAAATTTATTGGTAAACAGTGTTGTTTTACACTGCTACAAGTGCTACAGACTTTGTCAAGTTTTTTGACGTATAAATCATTTCTACCAATGAATCAAAGAAGCAAATAAATTTCAAAAATGTCACCTTTCCACTCATAATTGTAGTGATACAACAGTGGTACCGTTCTGACACATATAAATATTAGTTTTTGTAAGTAACAAATCAGTAAAAACAATGCAAAACTAGCACGACGCCACACAATTATTTACATATTCCAATAACAACATCATTACTGATCTGAGGCTGGAAATCTGTTGGGATGGTACTTCTGAACTTCACGAAGAAATTGACAAAAATTAGAACATGCTCTAATTTGTCAAGAACTTGATGAATAAATTCATGAAGTTATTTGGCAGCAAATTTGGTGCATTACACTTGTCCAATTTTTCGATGAAGCGACTTCATGAATTAATTGATCAATAAATTATCAATGTAAAATAGCTATTAGGTCATAAACTTGGAATAGAATAGTATGGAGTCCTCTCATCAAGTACTACTAAAAATAAAAATTGAAGATCAACCCATCCATTCTGAAATACCAAAGTGGCTCTGCTAAAAGTGGAACACACTGTATACAAATGTATTTATTTATTTATTTTATAGAATCAAACGAGAAGACGAACACCAGGTGGAGTTTTTCTATATTTAGTAAGGCATGATTATCATATAACCCTGGACCAAAAACAAAAAATTTTTGATGATGAAAGGCAAAGAAATAAACAAAATGCTAAGATTAAACAAAAAGAAAAGAATACGAAATTAAAATGCCAGATTGGTAAGTGAAAGAGTACAATTTTTAGTTACACTCACTGGTTTATGTGTTTTCTAATAATATATAGCTATTGCTTTCAGCTGCATCGAAAGCCAAATTATTACCCGATTTATTAACAAGAGCGGAACTACTGGCGTGCCAAAATCCAACAAGAAAAGTTAAAGACGAAACAGAAGAGACAGATTTTATCAATCCTCCTCCTACGCCTGAAACAGATGGACATGAAAATAGTGGGGACGGTATGGACAGTGTACCACAACCTGTTCTAAATGGAAGTGATTGCCTTGGAACATCACGAGAAACGGTTAATACTTATGAAGAAGATTTTTTGGATATCAGTTGCTCTAATGATATGGATTTATTTTAAGGAACATTTTATAATCAGTAATAACAATGTAATTGTAATGTGTCTATATAGGTATTTAAATAAAATTTATTAAGTTACGAGGTTTTCTTCTTTAAGGAAAATCCAACATCTGAAACAAGTCAGATTTTAAAGATCAGTATGTCGATCAAGATCAATTATATTTACTTACAATCTGTGGAAGAATAGTTTCAACATGTTCTAAACTGACTTTCTTTTTATTCTCTGAATTTGCTTGATCGACTGCTCTAAGTGTTGCTTCTATAACTATAATTTTAGCTATTTCAGATATTAATTCAACAGCATCATCAGATATTTTATTCTTGGGGTTCATAAATTTAGATTTCAAAGCTTCTTTTACTATATCCTAAAGAAAATTGTAGTTGAGAAATGGTAAATATACAATTATTTCGCTTACTTACATGGCCGAAAGAACATTTAAATAAAGAGGAATCATCAGAACTATTAGACATTTTCAGGAAGCAGCTTTATTTAAAATAAAGTTGAGGTTAGGTTGTATGTATAAAAATGTATGCAGTCAATAATACGCTTGTGTATGAAAAACACATAATATATGTTTGCTTCCAGCATATATGTACTAGTTAGTATATTCTCGAAGGCTTTTATGGGTATTCTTGTAAACGTAGATCAAAGTCTGAAGTTCAGTAGTAGGTGTAATATGTATAAACAGGCTGTCATCGAAATTTAAACGATGGGATTGTGGTTAACTTTCTAAGAAGGTATTTTAGAACTACGCCTCCTACCTACCTCACCGTTTGACAGTTCTGTCACAATAAATTGTGCAAAAAAGTGAGTGATTCAATCCAAAATCATTCTAAACTAAACCATTGCAGTCGTATTTGTGGTGCATAATATAAGTAGTATAGTTTGTACATACGAAGGGACATATTTTGAAACCATTATTTGTCGGTGAGTCTTGTAATTTACTTTAATTTTAACTAACTATCTCTAAATCAATAACAAAAAATACTGACATTTTCTTCGATCGATAGTATACCATGTCTTTGTCTCGCTAGGAATAATACATTTCCAACGTTCTCCTCTGTTATAGTTTTTTAAACCAATTTTTTTTATTTATTTAAATTTTGATAAAAGAATATAGACACGGTTAATAACTAAATAAAATAATATACGCTTTATCTTGTCTTCTGTGTATTATCAAACACTGCAATACACTGGGAATTACCTAACGACAAAGAAATTTTCTGTTTAGATTTTGATATGCAGTTCAGGGGTGAAGAAATGTTCTCATACCCATCTTACTTAATTTAACTTGGCATTCTGTCTTGATACCAGGCATCTTTTATTATCTTCAATCTTAAAATGTTATGAATTTAATTCTGCAAATTACAAATCCATTTAAATACTTTATTTAAACTTGTTTAATATAAACGTATAGGTATTCATACTTATTATGCCTTTAAAAGAAAATAAATATGTATATCGTTATACCTATCTTTTTTAATTCGATTTAACAATCTTCTATGCAAAATATGTATACCTATTTAGCTTTGTTTCTCATTTCTAGCATGAGTACAGAAATTCATTATTGTGTTAATATTTACGTCTGTAATAAAATAGAATAATCTTCTGCAGAATTGAATTGAGTAATTATCGTATGATCTAAATATTTATATTTAAATTGGAGAATATTTCAAAATGTTTTTTATAATTAAGTACCTACTCAATAAACTTTGAGTATTATTTTTTAACACTATTTTTATATTAATTTATTATTTTCGAGAACTAATCATGAGATCGCAATGTTACATAGATGTATTCCAAATTACGAAAATAAATAGTTTAAAGTATGGAGTATGGAATATTAAGAATGTATGTACCTACCTATAAACTATAATTTTCATTTAGGCAAAATGTATACCTATTTTTGCGTTGTAACAGGGACGTTGATACCAATTGAAAGAGATTTAAATTAAAAATCGGAACGAATGTGTACCATGAATTTATTGAAAATATTGCAAATGTATTATAATGACTAGTAATCTAAGAAGGTATAATACCTAGGTATTAGGGAATGATTTGTTTGTGGCAAAATGGCGTTGGTGGGTTACAGGACAGGGCAGGGAAGGAGAAGAAAGCAACTTAAATATATTTAATGAGTAACTCCAAGAGATGTTTAATGATTTTTATCACGGTCAATGTTGACATTATATCTTTAAATCAAAATATAACCGGAATCTAGGTACTAAACAAAAAATTGGAGAATTAGAGCTAGTTCTATTACAATTAAGGGCCCCATATTCTTTAAATAGTGTTTTCCGCAGAGACAAATAATTTCACACATTTAATAACTGAATAATCTAAAGCTTATCAAATAATAGGAATGTTATGTCATGCCACCTGAATATTTTCAAAGACGCCACAGTAAAACGAATAAACAGGTGCAAAAAACGATCAAACCATCAAGGTTTTAGGTACTGAAATCTACGAAAATACTAACTTTTTTATATATAACTCCACATGTAAATATTCTTATAACATTTACTTGCTTAATCCTACATATAAAATTGTTTACTTTTATTTATAAGTACGTAAAAATGATTCTTAAAATGTGGGGTTAGGATAACAAAAAACGCATGTTTTACAAACGTTTTTTTTTGTAGTTATTATTTTATTTGGGTAAATTTAAATGGTAACAATGAATAAACAAAACATCAAGGATTTTATTTTTGTGCTTACTTTTGTTCTACACGTTTTACTTTTCAAGATTTCAGTACCTAAAAATGCCAGAAATTTCACCATTTCTCGGCCAGGGATATGGCCACCTTAATTTCTTCATGAGTTTAATTTATTGTCATCAACATATTATTCCTAAGAATTCTGTATATTTTCCACACAATTAGTTCAAGGTCAAATAATTATCAATTTCCTTGACTGTACCTATAAAATTGCTATTTTCTTTTGAATATTGACCACTGACATAAATGATATCTATTCGTATGAAAATTTCTTGATATTAAGCCATCTAGGTATAACCGCAACACGTATTTTCTCCATATTATCATTTAAACTTAAAATGGCCCAGAAAAAGATCGATAATCCGATGCATTTAATAGTCTCATGTTAAAATCAGCTCATGTTCAGGAGACTATGTGGTGCTCGCATTGGATAGATTGAAACAGCATGTTTTGGAAACCTCATTACGATTGGCTGACTTATACCATAACATACATATACTTGACAATACAGCAAGTTTCTCTTTCCTTGAAAAGGCCACGGCGTAACGGTAAATGTATATATATGTTGCGAATTAATTTATGTTGTTATCAAAAATATCCCATACCTACCTGTTTCAAAATAAAAAAATTTACACTCTTAATTGAAAGTATTGTTTCGATTCATGAAAAGTGTCACTCGTCTATACTAAAGTGCCTTTTGAAATATGAACTTTAGTATGGTGATACACAGGGTGTATAATAATCTGGAAAATCTGGAATTATCAGGGAATTTCACATATCTGGAAATCCCGGGAAAACATCAGAATATTTTTTCTAATTCAAATTGTAATCGGCTTTATTTACAAGATGCGTCACTAGATGTCACGTTGCTGAAAAGTAAATTATCTACGACTCGTATGTACTAATTGTTGGTTTAGAATTATGAATTTGTTTTGCTATTAATATTTCCATATCTTTTTTTAGAATTCTTACTGATTGTGAACCAAATTTAATTATCAGTGCACACAGGGATCTTGGAAACTATTAGACACAGAAAAGCTTAATATCACTGAAAATAATTCAATTTAAAAAATCAACCGCAACTTCGTTACTTCTATAAAAAAAAATATTGCACCTTTCTTTAAATGTAATATAATTTGTTTGATATTACACTAACAATTAGTTTTTTTTTATATAAAATCGAATATGGCATACGAGTCAGAATTGAAATTTTGATTTTAAAATTTGTATTAGAACATTATTTGTGGTTATAAACAGATTTGTTTTATAAAAATGTTGTGTAAAATAATAAATATGTATTGGTACTTTTCTCTTGAGTATTTTCGTGTTCTTTTAATTTATGAACACCCTGTATATCTAATCTAAGATGTTTGTGTGACAGTCTCATTTTTTCGGGGGGCAACTTTTTATAAAGAGTGACATTTTTCGATAAAGTCAAAAATAAAAGAGTTTCTCCTCTTGTCAACCTCATCCGTGGACACACTGTATATACATTATTAAATATTNTAAATCTCTTTCAATTGGTATCAACGTCCCTGTTACAACGCAAAAATAGGTATACATTTTGCCTAAATGAAAATTATAGTTTATAGGTAGGTACATACATTCTTAATATTCCATACTCCATACTTTAAACTATTTATTTTCGTAATTTGGAATACATCCTTAATACTAATAACAATACATACTTAATTTTTTGCTTTCTTTAAAATTGTTTATTAACGATTCCTTTTATATTTTTTAAATAAGTCATTTCAATGAGAAATTCAATTCTCTACAAAATGTTTCCTATGAACTATACCGAAATTTTGATTCGTTTTCGTGCTATATTTAAAAAACTGCAAAAGTGCATTTTCACCCCATCTTCAATTTCAACCCTCTAATTTAATAGCACCCCGCGGTTTTTTCATTTTCAATGACCCTTCGAACAAGTCATGTAATGAAAATCCTTGAATGTCTTATTTCCTTCCTTTTTTTGCCAAAAATTAGAATTAAAACTTTAAGGATGAACGCGACGAAAATCGAAAAATTACCTAAGTTTGAGCAGCCATATATCAGTCAATTTTCATTCAAAAATACTTTACAACCTCTTGTTTTGAAGGAAATTTTATCTACCTTTTTTCTATGAAGTAATGCCTATACCTATCTCTACTTAAAAAAAAAAACTAGAGGCAAATAAGTAAAACAAATCAGAAAATCGAATTTTTTGCTTTTTTTCAAATTGTTTATTAACGATTTTTTTTGGATAAAATTTTCTTTTAATTTTTTAAATAAGCTATTTCCATGGGAAATTCAATTCTATAAATAATTTTTCCTATGAACTACAGCGAAATTTTGCTTCGTTTTCGAGCTACAATTAAAAAACTGAAAGGGAGCATTTTCACCCCTATCTCCAATTTCCACCCTCTAAGTTAATAGCACTCCGCGGTTTTTTCATCTAAAATGACCATTTGAGCGATTCATGTAAAAAAAAACCTTCAACGTCATATAGTTCCTTTTAAAATCCTCTGTTCAATAACCTATACTCCGCGGCCGAAATTATAGAGAGTGACTAATCGCTAGCTTTTGGACTAGTAAGGGGGATGAAGCGTGCCGGGAACGAAAATCCATTGGCGTGTCTGCGTAAAACGCAAAAATATATATAAAATAAAAAAAGATAATAAAACATAACATCTAATATTTTTTACGGTTTGCTATGACCGGCACTTTGATCCATTTTAATTATTACATCATTTTAAAACGTCCCAGTTGTGTTTTTTTAATTTATAAATTTATTATTGTCATGGAATTAGTCACCTCGTCTACGCTTATGCTATGACGTTTCTCAGGACTCGTAAATCAAGTCCGTTTTCACCCAACTAAAAAAGCATTTCCCTATTCCCTACCAAGTGCAAAAGACATAGATCGACGTTCAGTGTAACTCTGTCTATAGACGAGATTCTGTCGATGTGCGTAGCGAGCAGCACAAAGATATATAATATTGAACTGTATAAAAATCATTTTATATTTTATACGCATTACGGTAATAGTGTTTTTATATTATGTCTGAATCACTCTTTATAATTTCGACCGCGGAGTATAAGAGACAAACGCGGATTTACCACAACGGTACAATTCTAAGTACGATTAGAATTTTTTTTATTAATTTCAAATCTGACAAAAGTGAAAGTAGCGAATAAGTATTTCGTTATATGTATGTATACACAATAA